AGAAAGTTCATTTTTCAGAGTAAATGTTTGATAGATAGATTTCCATTCATTACCCTCATCCTTCCCTTGCGGGTCAAAATAAATAAATAAAATACATGTAATAAAATAAAATAAAAATGACCTGAAGCCCTAAACTTATACTTAATTTTTTACGCTTATTTTATTTCATTTTGGTAATATTTTTTAATGCCATTTTTTTTGGATAATTTTTTTTATTTATTTACCTTTAAATTATTAGATTTAGTCAATAAATAGTCATTTAAGCACATTCCTCACATTCTTTCAACTTAAATTCTAAATAACTCACAATTTCATGCCTAAACCTTTTAATTCAGCTTTAAATATCTTACACTAGGTGTCTTTGTACGGAAGCGTATTGCATTCACTTGAGGAAAAAAATCTACTCTGTTTTTCTGAATTAACGAGATAATTCTCTCAAAATTACGAGATATTTTTTCATGGAAAAAAGTTTTTGCTCTGTTTTTCTGAACTAATGACTTAATTATCTCAAAATTATGAGAAACTCATTAATTCACAAAAACAGTGCAAAACATTTTTTTCAAGAAAAATGTATCTCGTAATTCTGAGATAATTAACTCGTTAATTCAGAAAAACAGAGCAAAAACTTTTTTTTCATGAAAAAATATCTCGTAATTTTGAGAGAATTATCTCGTTAATTCAGAAAAACAGAGTAGATTTTTTTTTCTCTCAAGTGAATGCAATACGCTTCTGTAGTCTTTGTGACCTCTTGTGGGAAAAATAATAATATAACATGATATTTCATGACTCTAGCCACTAGATGGCCTCTATATGGCGCAAATGAGCTGTTCCTCTGGGTCCTAAAGTCAGTTTCTCTTCAGTATGCATTCAGATACACACATGTAGACATTATAAAATAATTTTTTTCTAAAGTTTTAAAGCATTTTTAGTTTTTTCTATGAAGCATTCCTCGCATTCCATTCATTCCTATGGGGGTCAAATTGACTCGATTTGTTACTTTTTTTTAATTTTAACCACAAAACTCCTCAAATCCATTACATTTTTGTAAGTGTATTCGTGGTTCAAGTGCGACAAAAGACAAATGGCCCTAAGATGAACACAAATTCCGGGTCAAAATGACCCGCGGGAAGGATTAAAAGAACATCAACGGCAGAGTATTTCACAGACTCCCTCCCGGGTCTCTCCTCATGAATAGGTGCCTTGTCGTAATTACAAGACTTCCGCTTGTTAAAAGCGTTCACGTCCTCGTGGAGCTCGTAATTACAACTTGTAAACTGGGAATTTCCTGAGAGCTCCAACTTGCACCATGTGACCACCTGATTCATTGATGGCGTTGCCATGAGGGTTTGTCCTAACTAGCCCCGCCCACGGTGAAATCTCATTGGTCAGTGCTTCTCAAAGTCGGAACACGCATTAAAGAAACCTTAAAATCAAACTATTTCATGTTTTATTTCACCCTCTCGACAACTGGTTTTCTTTGAAGAATCAGGAATCTTGAGAAACCTTGAAACATTTTTTTTTTTTGTTATACCATTTTATCGGAAGTAAATCATGAGAAACTGAAACGGTTGAGAAGCACTGCTTGTTTAGTTGAACTGGGGATCAAGTTGGCGGTTGACGTCATCAAAATGCTACTAGTTTAACATGTTTCTGTCTTTATTACTGTCTTTGTTCTTCAAGGTGTCAGTTAGTCATGAAGGATTTTCCTGGAGACTCTCAGGTTACACGACCTGATCATATTTCGAAGGCCATGCAAACCCGTCGATGTCACACACAGTCGCCTTGACAAGAGATGAAATGTTTTCTATAGTGTTTCTAAATGCTTTTTTACAAACTCTTCTGGGATAAAACATTGACAAACACCGTCTTTAAACCCTTTAATGGATTTGCACACTTCATGTGTGTATGTGAGAATGCGAGAGTCTACAAGTTGTCTTGTTAGATATAGACATGAAGTGTGTGTGTGTGTGTGTGTGTGTGTGTGTGTGTGTGTTTCTCCTCCAGATACAGATATCATGTCATTTTGGACTCCAGGGGCGTCCAATCTCTCCGACTGTTAAATATTTATTTTATTGTTAAGTTATGACTTACATCCATGTGACGTTGTACATCTTTTACATTTTTTTTTTTTGTGTATATAGCCATTGCTAAGAATGTAAAAAACTTCTTACTGTACAGTAAAAACCGTCAGTGTAAAACAAGGTGTGTGTAACGCTGAACTGCTGTCTTTTGTGTCATCTATCACAGTTTTTTACCAAACATGCAGAATTAAAAAATTACATTTAAGTATCATTATACTGTACATATATTTTCATTTTTATCAAAATAATTATTTTAGTAATTTATTATAAAGTTGATTATATAGTGTCATAATACTGCACATATATTTTTATTTTATATTTATGATAATTTTAATATATAATAGTAATTCAATAAATGACATTATATAGTGTCATTGTACTGTTTTTATTTATAAAAAAATAATTATTTTAATAATAATTTATTTTAAATAAAGTTGTTCTACACATTTATTTTATTATATTTTAGTATATAAATATGTTTTGTAGTCATTAGTCACTTATTTATAACAAATTAAATAATTTTAATAGTAATATAATTTAAATAATAAAGTGCATTGTATAGTCTCATTATAATGCACAGATTTGTATTATTGTAAATATATATATAATACTATTTCAATATCAATTATATAGTGTCATAAATATATATCACAGATCATGCACCCATTGTTGCATGAAGCGTTTTCAATTTTCCAATTATAATCTAAAATTTCTTAAAGTTTAAGGTAAACAAATTACAAAAATGCATGTCACACGAAAGTGCAAATTGCAATATATATACGTATATTATATATGCATATATATTTTTACATATACACATACTGTATACATACTACGGGGACGTATTAGCTACTACTATTAGGCTACGCTGTAAAAAAAATGATATGATTATATGTATACATTGCTTTACCTCATCAAAATAACTCAGCACTTTTGATCTTTTTTTGTGAGTTTTACACAGTAACGGAATACATTTAACGGCGTTACGTAATTGAAATTGTAATAATCGTAATAAAAATTGGTAACTGTAATTCGTTACAGTTACATCAAAAAACAAAGTAATCAGAATACAGTTACATTTTGTAAAAAAAAAAAAAAAAAAAAAAAAAAGAGAAAGAGAAAAAAAAGGGAATACCAACAGGATTACAATGGTTTCATTTAAAGCTAAATAATTTTTTACATGATAACGCTATATTAGGGTAGAGTGGGGGAAAACGTGACATTACTGTGAAACAAAACATAAATGTGACTAGAAGTGCCATCCCAGTTTTGAGTGACTACGGCAGGAGTTATTCACCAAATATTAAAATTGCTCTGCCTTCATAAATATTTAGATTTTTGACTGAAAATATTTTTGTACAAAGGGGGCGTTTTGCCAGTTTGGTTCATAGATCAACAGCGAAATGAACAGACTATAGTTTTTAATCTCTAAAAGTAAAAGGCAAGTAATGTATCACCATAGGCTATATTAATATTTATTTCAGGAATGTCCAAAATAGGTACATTTCTATGAGTAGGCTAAGCTAACTGTGCTAGCTAGCTGGCTAATGCTCACTTGAGGTAATTTTTTCATGTTTTGTTCAAATAATTTGATTTTACCCCGTAGTTATACTGCATTACGTGTAAAACAAAGGATTTGATAGACAGAAATATGTTATTATAGTAATTATGACAGAAAGAAACTATGCCCTCTGGGGGGCGTTTGTACTCCACAAGCTATGACTTAAAAAAAAAAAAAAAAATTTTTTTAAAGTATAATTATATTCCTAATAAATAACATATGCTCTAACATAACGTTTTCGTGTTTGGACATTTCACCGTTTTTTTTTTTAAAAGAGGAAAAAGGAAACAACATGGTTGTACAGCATAAATTATGAAGGACTCAAAATCCAACTTAGACATTTGCAGTTACGACTAATCAAGTTAGCAAAATTTAGTGTTTGTCAGTGATTTAAAATTCCATAGTTTGTACGATCGCAGTTTTGTGTACGTTTTCTAACGGAAAATGGGAAATGTAGAAATTAACACGAGAGTCTCCATTAAAAGTCTAATAAGCCCTGGAAAGATCACGGCCTTGATCAACGTGTGTTTTGAAATAGACTAATATGTAGATGCTGTGTAGACTTTTTAATGTTGTGTATAAACTATAATTATTTTCCCCTTGTACATGGTAAATAAATAAAAATAAAGAATAAAACCACCTGTAATACAATACTGTCCACTAGATGTCTGTATAGCCTTTTATATAATTTTATAAACGGGGCTAGTTGGTGAAACAAGACACGATTGCTTAATTTTAATAGCCTAGTTTATTTAAAATTCACATTAAATAAAAGTAATTGGATGATATTGCTGTTTACTTGACTTTATGACCTTGAAGTAATCCAAAAGTAATCAGATTACATTACTTTTATATTGTGGTGCATGGATTACGTTACTGAATACTTTTTTGTGAAGTAATTTGTATAACTGTAAATAATGGAAAAGCCTACATTTGAAAACTCATGTTTAAGTCAGTGTAATGTAGCCTGTTTTAAGTTGAAATGACTTAAACGTCCAAGTTGACAGTATTTTAGCAACTTTTTTTTAGAGTATACTACAACTAAGGTACTACTATTTAGTAGTAGTAAGAAAATCTGTTGTGTAAATGGATTTTAATGAAAGAAAAATGTTTTGCGTTGGCCGGGAATCGAACCCGGGTCAACTGCTTGGAAGGCAGCTATGCTCACCACTATACCACCAACGCTTGACGATCTTGAAGATCTAGCCATAAGCTTTAAACAAAAATGTACTAAGTATTCTAACATTATAAAGTACGTTTGAGTTGCTTTGTTAGTGTAATAACAGATAGCCACATATTTTACGATCTGTTTACTGGTATTAAACATAATTTTGTACATTTCCTTTTCAAATTCATTC